GCAAGGCAATCAAACCGGTCAGTCCTAGGGGAGATCAACCCTGACTGCTCTTTAGAAGGCCAGATCCTGAAGATGAAACTCAAATACCTTGGCCACCTAATGAGAAGGAAGGACTCCCTGGAGAAGAGCCTAATGCTGGGAAGAACAGATGGCAAAAGAAGAAGGGGACGGCAGAGAATGAGGTGGCTGGATGGAGTCACTGAAGCAGTTGGTGTGAGCTTAAGTGGACTCCGGGGGATGGTGGAAGACAGGAAGGCCTGGAGGAACGTTGTCCATGGGGTCGCGATGGGTCGGACATGACTTCACGACTAACAACAACAACAACAACAGATACTTAAGCAGTCTACCTAAGGCAGGGGTCGGCAACCCGCAGCTCTGGAGCCGCATGTGGCTCTTGAACCCCTCTGCTGCAGCTCCGTCACTCAAAACAAGCGCCAGCACAGCCACTGATCTGCTCGAAGCTCCACTCAGGAATGCAGGGCTAGCTAGTTAAGTAAATCAGCTAGTTAAGTAAATCGCTACATTCCTCTGCTAAACAAGCTTCCTACAGGTTCTCATGTTACATGAAACACTGCTGAAAAGATTCTCTTTGTCCCACTGTAATCTCCTTCATCTGAATGTTAAAAGCTGCGCTTGGGACCTGTCACAATTCACATCACTTGACTGTTTATCTGCTAATCAGTCACTAAACACACCTATATCTGTAACCTGCACAGATTTACTGAGCTTCCCCCCTCCCCCTCCAACCATGGATAAATCCGAAGAAAAGTTTCTGAAGAAAACTGAACGTTTAACGGTACTTGGGTAGATTCATTTGCTTTTACTGCTGATGAACTTAAGGGGTTTGCTGTTTAATGCATGCAGCCCTTTAGCACTAACTTTGACTCTGCAGGAAGCTGTTCTCCTGTTCAAAATATATGAAAGGAGTCCTACTAGTTTATAATGTAAGATTAAGTAACAGTTTTTAGTGACTGAACAAGAGCTGCAGCTAAATCATAATGAAGATATAGATCTACTTCTTTGTTTTAAGAAAATTCTTTTAAAAATTCCAGCAACATTATTACACTGGGAGAGGGATGTTTGTTCAATATTTCACCACATGATAAAAGAATGAGGGCACACAGAAGCAGAAGGCATTTTTGGTTTGCTGCAGGTAGTATGTTTGGTTCGCTGCTAGTGGATAATATAAGTTCGGCTTTTTATTTCATAATACAAGAAGGACTCAGATAGACATTGAGTATTTTATTTGAAAGTAACTTTCAACCCAGCAACTTTTTCTTTTGGAGTTCAAAATGTTTTTGTTGCATGCAGAAATAAAAATTTGTTTTCTCTGTAGCAGTTCATTGATTTCATAAATGCAACACACTATAGTTTTTTTATATATAGCATAAAGGTAAAAAACTATATATGCAGTGTTATCTTCATTTTAGATGTCAAAAGGGTTTTGCGGCTCCTGGTGTTTTCTTTTCTGTGGGAAATGGGTCCAAATGGCTCTTTGAGTGTTAAAGATTGCCGACCCCTGACCTAAGGGATTGTTTCTCCCACATCAGTCTATGGCAAGGGTAGGTTATGTTGCTGCCCTGGAACCCACCAGGAGTCATATTTCCTGTTGCCAACGTAATAGCTGCCACCAAAATTTTGGCACCAAATTTTGGCTACAGTTTGGCAGCATGGAATAAGATAAATGTTCACTCTTAGGCACCTGGGAAGGTTGCATCTTGTTTTAATGCAAATTCAGGTTCCTGAAGTCCTGAGGAAGCACAGCTGTCCATGAAGAAAAGCTGCATGCTTCCCCCACATCTTTTTTAAAGCAGGGGGTGTGTGGACAGTTTTTGCTCATCAGGGCCTTTCCCACACTTCACACCTCCTCATCCCATGGCATGGATAAAATGTTGTTGTTTTTCCTTTTTCAGTGGCATCCTGAATGCCTGTGGAATGCCAAAAGGGCAAAGGCTAGCTTGCTTGAAAAGACTACTTTTTACCCTTCACAGGCTATGTGGCCTTGCTGGGTGACTTCCTTTCACTTCCTTTTGGAGGCAATGGGGCAGCCAATGGACTAGATGTTACCTATCCCTGCCTTAAATGAGCCTTTTTTCCCTCACTGTGTTCCCCACTGCTGAAACTCAGTAGCAGCAGTGGCTATCTGGTGGGGGCGGGGGGGGGGGAGTGCTTGAAAAAGGACCGGGGAGCCACATCTCTTTTGGGTGTGGCCCATTCCCGCCTCGGGGCCTGCTAAAGCTTGTCTCCCAGGGCCTCCTGCCATCTGCAGTGAAGCGAGTAGCAAGCAGAGAATGGCCCCGTGTTTCCAGAACTGTCTGCCTAGGAAGGCTTAGCTAGGCTCAGCTCTTTTCTTTGCCTGGGCGGTACTTCCGTGCCAGAGCACATTCTTTGCACGCAGGTGATCTCATCTGGATCCCCGGCATCTCCAGGCAGGGCTAGGAAAGAACCCTTCTGTAACCCTGCAGACCTGCTGCCAGTCAGTGTGGGCAGTGCCAGTCTAGATGGAGCAAGGATCTGACTTTGTAAATGTGCCTTGTGCCCAAGTCCCCAGCAGGGTAGCCATTCCAGGAAACTCAGCTCCATTAGAGGCAGAGGCAGTGCTGGGCTTTAGCTCTGCCAGCACTCGCAGCTTAGAATTTTGCATGGCCCAGGAAAGGATCTCTTAACTGGGCAGTCTGCCTGTTGTCTGAACTGCGCTGCAGGCTGTGGGCTGGGTGGCCCTTTAATGAGGGGAGCTTTCACTGCAGCATGATACTGCTACGGCGAGTACAGTTGCCCCCTGCTCCCCTAGGAATGGTGCCAGCATATTCCCTAGCTGGGCTACAACCCCATGACCCCACCCCCGGGATCCACCCCATCTTTGTTAGGGAGGGGGGCATGCGCCCACTTCTCCCTTGGTTTGGCTCCATCACAGTGCTATCCACCTAAAAAACTGTGGCAGTTCTGCCTGGCCACGGACTTGCTACCAACAAACAGCTACAGAAAAGGCAAAACCCCCACAAAGCAAGCCAATAAGCTTTCACCAGGAAAAAGCCCTTCCCAGCCCCATCAGTTGGTAGTTGACTGATGAACCATGCTTAAAACTTGCACTGATCAAATCCAGTGTTCAGAGCAGCAAGACAGCCCAAGGTTGTGGCTTTCTTTAGCTGCTGCATGGACTGGACAGCACACCACCGATTAGGCCAGCGGAAGCACACCCACAGGCAAGTGCATGAGCACATCCAGGCTGCCCCCCCTCCCCTTTCTGCCATGCCTTGGCACAAACCCGAGCCACCAAAACAGCCAGGGGCTCAAGCTTCCTATGGCCCTTTATGTATTCTGTGTTGCATTTGACTGCTGATTAATTGCTCCTGGTGTATTGAATTTTACCTTTTGTTGCTATGGCTGGTTATTATTTTCATCTGCTTAGAAACTTTTGTTGAAGCATGGCACTAAAATCTATGGAATAAATATAAGGACACAATGTACTGACCGATGGCAATGGAAATCCATTATGTAAGAAACCATGATTCCATCCTTTGGGTTGGCTTAGTCCATCTTCGTAAGCTGGAGGCAGCCATCTAGCCAGAGCTGTGTTGGAAGCTCCCCATCTAGGATGTTCCCTAAGTGATAGAAAATGCTTTAATGAAATTTGCTTTAAAAGTATTAGCTGTAACAGATATGTAGGACAATATCCAAATCTATGCATTTGGACAGAATCTATGTTCTTGTAAAACAATAACATGGAATTTAAAATACATCAGAAACAAGTTTAAGGGATTTCAAAAGTCAGAGGATTTAGAGCAAGAGAGAGAGAGAGGTCAAAAGGTTTTCACACACAATGTAGGATGATTTCAGCCCTGAATTGCATTGCTTTAGTGTACCTTGGCATAGCACTTGTCTCACCATTTCCTCTTGCTGAAGAGTTCCTTGCCAAATCCATAAGGCCAAGTCCATGTGAAGCTACCAACTTCAGGTGGTAACGCAGTTATGCTATGGAGGGGAGGTTCCTCATCAGGCACTATGGAGGTAGATAAGATGGCTGGCCTGTCCTTGTCTGACTCCCTCACTTGCCACTCACACCTTGGCCTCTGTGTCCTGTTTCCTTCTGCTGAAAGTGTCTTATGGAAGGAGAACCTAATCATAGTGCACTGGAGAGGTGTGGCCCTGCCCCGCGCCTGAATGGGACCAGAATGCCCCAAACGAATCTCTCCGAGAGCATTTTCCAATGCTGGTCCTACCTAGAGTAGGGCCAGGAGATTGTCTGCATTGCAAGTAATCTCCTCGACCACCCTCCCTGTAATGCTTGCCTCTGAGGAAGACGCCTGGGCCTGGCCGGCTCTCTGAAAAGCTGCCCCAGGCTCTTTCCCTGGCCCATGGGGCTCTTCAGACTGCAAAGGGCCGGACGACAATGCAGCGTGGCACGAGTAGGCGAGGCACCTTTGCGGGAATGCAATAGAGACACAGAGGCACATGCATCCTGCCGCCTCTGTGGCGAGGAAGCTTGCACTGGCACTGGTCATACATTTACATTTCTGAGGGGAACAATTATTTTATTAATACTTCATTGATCTTCAGTATACCAAAGGGCTCAATTTGCAGAGCAATGTGAGTCAGTAATACATTTAATTAACTGTGATAATTCACACTTGAAGGCTGACATACGCCTTAATAAAGCATTCAAATTAGTTACAGTTGATTCGTCTTTATTGAAATGGCATAAAATACTGCACATAGTGCTATTTCACTCAATTAAAAGTAATGAAATGTTAATTTAACAGCTTAACAAATGATTTTCTTCCTGATGGCTTTAATATTTTAGCAGATCACTGGAATGTTACTGGGAGGAGAATCCTTCCAGGGGATTTTCTCAACGTGTGTGTCTGCACACCCCAACATGGTTCCCTGTGAATTCCACGGTACAAACAGAACTATGATGCCGTGTGGTCTACGGGTATTTGCTTATTCTGTTGAAAGAGATGGAGAACTTCTAACAATATGTGCAAGATCACAGTGCACATCAGAATTCTCTACACTGGGGTGAATTATGCAATCTGGTGACATATTCTGTCATCAAAGGAAAAGTCGTGTTCCTGCAGGGATCTACTGAGTATATATTATGTCTAGTTATGCAGCAAGGGTAAATATGGTTCTACATAAAGCCAATGTCAAAATCTTACAAACTTGTTTCCAGGTTAAAATCAAGATGGGGAATTTGTGTTCTTTCAGATGTTCTTGAACGACAACTCCAATCAGCTTCAGTCTGACTAGGAGAATGGGAGCTGATGTCCAGCAACACTTAGAAGGCCACTTGTTCCTAGCCATGGTTTAACTGAGGGGAATTTTTGTCCTCCAGACTGGATCACACTGAGAGAGGGAGAAATACTATTTTTAAAAAATCTTTGTTTTGCTGCATTGTAGCACTTAATTGTATTAATAGGGTTAAATTTAGCTTTCTGTCAAGCTAAATTTGAACCTTTTAGCACTCCATAGCTTCTTAGAAGTGGCACCCCACTTGTGTACTGTTTCCCAGGGAAATACACCTGGTGCCAACACTATATACAGTCAAGGGTCAGGCTTTTTTATTTTTCTGCCATTTTAATTGTTGACTTTCTAGTTTTATATTGGTTTTTCAATTGTCTGGTACATGTAGAATAGTTATTATTTATCATACTGTGTTGTTGTTATTGCATTGCCTGAAAAAATATTGTACAGATATGTTTTATTGCAGGCAAATTGTTTTAAATTGTTCTAATGGCTGAATTTTGTACATTGTAATTATATTAAAATGTTTTAATATATTTTAATATATTTATAATATATATTATATTAAAATATAAGATATTTTAATATAATATATATTTTGCTAGCATTAAGCTAATCAAATGGCATAGAAATGCAATGAATGAATATTTTTCCTCTATTCGTCAGAGGTGGGCATGGCACAGACTGGATGTTACCCATCCCTACTTTAAATGAAGCTAGTGTTAAATGAAGCTAAATGTTCAGTAGTTGTGCAGTACAGCAAGCATTCCTAGTTTTCCAAATGCCCAACATTTCTCCTTAACAACTATCCTGAATAGTTACTTTCCTCAAACATGCATGTCAAAGTCACAGAATTCTGCAAAGCAGAAAACGTGCATGAGTTTCAGCAGGAAGCCACCAATGACCAGGTAATTGGTGACCAGGTAAAAGGAGACAGATGTGGAAACAGGGATGGCCCTAAAACAGAGAATATCTCATTGTCAGTGAAGAATAATGCTACCTGTTGCTTGTCAATATATACCTGTTGTTGCAAGCTCCAGTGATGTGTCTGTATTTGCTGGTCATACAATTGTTTGGGCATTTTGGTGGCAACATGTAAGGCAGGCATCCTGAGACATTGGCAATCACAGCTAGAACATCTGCAGATATTAGATCTAGAAATTAAAAACATGTTATCACTCTCCACATCCACATTTGACTAATTGTGAATAACATCATGGGATACAGTAGTCTGTCATTTCTTTGTGATTTAGTTTGATCTCCTGCCACTCTATTCTGGCAATGTAGGAATATTTCCTTCTTAAACTTGTCAAACTATAGTTGGGCACAAAAATTTACATTCTAAAGACATGGAACTGTGGAGAATGGACAACAATAGTGTCAACATCACTGCAGCAAAGCTTGCTAACCCTTCTCCCCCGCCCCCTGCCCCCCGCCCCACCAATAACCATGACATACCATTAAATGCTAATGCGAACAATCAAAGGGCACACCCCATCCACCCACTCACAATCCTAAGGCACAGAGGCATAACCAGGTGGTTACCAGCAAAGCTGCGATCACAGCTGACTTCTTTTTTTGTTGCATAAGTTATCTGTCCAATGTAAGTATTACTTCTAAATGCACCCTTAGTCTATCCAAAGGCCCATCGCCTACTCACATGGATCTTCTGAGATGCACATAGAACAACAGGCATTTCTTCACTCATTGACTAGAGTCATTGCCAGTCACTGACTATCACACGTGAAGAGTACAGAGCTGCCACTCTGGCCAAGGAGCTCTAGCTGATGAAGCTGCCCAAGGGGACTCAGTGTGGCTGTCATTGGCTCCCCACTCCATTCACTTTCTTGTGGATTCTGGGAGGGCAGCATTGAGACTCTGGGAGGAGGGGGGTAGCGATGCAGAAGGTGCAGGAGGGTGTACCTCCCCCCCTCCCCCCAGGCCTGCCTGCCTCCTCCTACCCAAGATCTGAGCATGGTGGAGGAGGAGAGGAGGAGGAAGGCAGGGTAGGCGGCAGCTGTGCTGGTCTTCCCAAACTCCACTTTGGACCTGGGGAAGGGTGCATAATGGACACCATTTTGCCCCCTCACTGCCAGCTGGGGAACCAACTGAGGGTGGGCAACTTTGGACAGGGGCAGCCTGTCAGCTGGGAATCCTTCTGGGGAGATGCAGCCGAGTGCTGAGGCCACAGGTGGCCAGAAGAGGCCACATTCAGCTGTGTTTCCCTGGAAGACAACCCAGATGAGGGCTTGGCCCCATTAGTTGCACTGCAGCCAGTGAGAGTGGGGCGCTTCTCTCGTGAGTGGCCTTGACAAGGAGAAGGCCCCTGTGTGTAGCAAGCAGCTTGGCAAGTGGGGGGGATTCCTCCTGTGTCTCCCTCCCCACTGCTCAGCTTTGAGGCTGCTCAGCAAAGCAGCGCTGTGGCCGAGCTGGGCTTGGAAGTGCGAGGTGGTGTCCCCGGGTTCCTTTTCCTATGTTCCTGCCCATGCCGGGAGAATGGCACCTGCCATCTTTGCTCCCCACATTGCTCCCAAGGGGTGTCCTGGATAGGCATGGGAGGACGGAGGGGGGAAGATGGGGAAAGAGGGCCCTGGGGACCCTTGCTGTGCCCAGTCATAAGGGGGCTCCACCCAGGACCCCCAGGCAACTTTAAGCCTGGGTTAAAGTATGCCACCCTGCACTTGCAGTATTGCCCAAATGTACCTGGTAAGCTATAAAACGAAACAGTAAAACCCATTTAATTATTCTGCAGAGAAACTAAAGTTTATGACCAGCACTCATGGGTATACCCATTATTTGGAAAATGGCATTTTATTACGTTTTAAAAGATGTGCCTGGACTCTAAGGTGTAGAGATGAATTTAAGTAACTACTTGCGGTAACATAAGAATAAAATCAATTCAATGCAGCTTTAATCGAAGAGGCACAGCCCTCGAGCAGCCACAGGGGATCCTTTGCCAGTGTCTGCGTCTGTATTTATTTACCACTTGGAAGCAAAGACCGTTTATGCTTTTGGTTAAGCTTTTCTTTCAAGTCCTGGACTGAAGCTTCCATTCTTTCAGCTGCTTGAGAGACAGCCTGAGTCTCTTGTTCTGGATTTCTGGAAAAAGCCAACAGCTGTGCAGGGGCCATTGTTGCCGTTCTTTGGTGAAGACTACAAAGGAGATAGAAACACTGATTTAATGCCCTCCTCCCATTATACTGGTACCTGTGTTTAGGGCTTGTATAGGTAAAAGGCAGAACATTGAGAATACTTATTTTCATTGAGTGAACAAGTAATCATGTGTTCTCAGTAAAGGGCACAGGTTATATTTGGTAATCCTGATATGGCAAACTGCCAGCCTGTGAGCTCAAAGTGTCCTGCAGAGGTTCTTCATCCAGCCTGCAGAGGCTTGGGGCTCCCCACTGGTCCATTCCAACTCCACCCCTGTCCCCCATGCCTACTGAGGACAGCATGGAGAGGAAGCACTATGAGGAAAGATCAAAAGAGCTGGGCATGTTTAGCCTCGAGCAGAGAAGATTGAGGGGAGATAGGATAGCACTTCTCAAATACTTGTAAGGCTGTGACACTGAGGTGGGCTGGCATTTCTTGTCAAAGTGCAGGACACAGAATAATGGGCTTAAGTTGCAGGAAGCCATATTCTGCTTAAACACTAGAACATTATTAGAAAATTGAGAGATAAGATAGGACAACTGAAATTCAAAGAGGCTGTTATTCAATTGTATCAAGATCTTTGTTATCAGACTATATTCAAGGAGCATCTAAACACTATAATCAAGCTAATATCATTCTAAAAAGGAATGATATTAGATATAGCTGGAGCTACCCAGTACACACCAGAGGGTATTTTTTATAATGCGAAATATAATAGAATTGACTCTTTGATTCAAGGCTTAAATTTGCTAAATGAATGGGGTTTCATTGACAAAGATCAATGGAAACAAGAATTAGCAAAAATTGCAGATAAAGGTTGAAAAAAAACCAGGATCTCTTCTCATACATACATCCCAAAGTGCAGGACACAGAATAACGGGCTTAAGTTGCAGGAAGCCAGATTCAGGTGAGACAGCAGGAAAGTTTTCCTGATTATTAGCGCAAAATAGCAATGGAACCGATTGCCTAGAGAGTTTGTTGCCTCTCCCACACTGGAGGCATTCAAGAGATGGTTGGACAGCCCTTTGTCAGCAGCACTTTGGCTTGGAACAGAGGGTTGAGCAGAGGGTTGGACTCAGTGGACTTACAGGGCCCTCCCAGTTCTCTTTTTCCATGAATCCCAATGGTTCTCCCCAGTCTTTCTTCGGAAATAAAAGAGGAGAGGTCCTCAGCATGTGCTCCACCACTTGGAAGTGCTGTTTTTGCACTAGCTGCTTCCCCAGGTGAAGGAGCAATTCTCTAGCTTGTCCTTTGGATGGGGAGGCTTAGATGCTGGTGAGATTTCCCCTGCTCACGTTGAAGGTGGGCCTGAAATCATTTGGCCATCCAGAGGGATGGCTGGGGAGGTGGGATCATTCAGCCTCCTACCCTAAAGCTGCTCCTCTGTCTCCCTCCTACTCCTTTGCAGAACCATGCAAGTTTCTGTGAATTTCTCATCAAACAGACGACTTTTTCACAACTTTTTTGGTCTTTGTTCAGCCTTCCTGCTGATTCCTTTTAAAACAAAGGGTTCAGTGTGTAGTTCAATTTCCCCCTTTAGCCAGTGGAGCAGCGGGCTATGCTATGCTTTATGTGCCACATAATATTTTGAGATTAGAGAGCATGCAAAACCATCCTAACAGCTGGAATTTTGTTCTCTTTTGAGCATGCAACAATCCTACTAACTGTAGTCACTGCTGAAGGTTCTTTGAAGCTTGCAGTTCTCACTGTGAGCAGTTAGTGAGGAAGCTGGGAAAGAAGACAGTTTCACACTTACACGTGCACTTTCATGTTCTGGCTACAGTTGGGTGTCGTGCCATGTCAGCTACGCATAGCTCAGCCTATAGAGTTTCTCCTAAAGCTTGACTCATCATGTCTGTCCATGTATTTTGGCATTGCTTGTGTGTATGTGGACTTGCTCTACCAGGATGTTAACAGGGCAGGCCATTGTGAAGCATGGCAACAGTGATGATGGGTGGTTTGGAAACAGCACTGCAAGAAACATTACGGAAGTCTTAACTTACATATAAACCTGCTTCTCAGAGATATACTAATTGCAAAATTGCTTTGCAAAGTGTGAAAACAAAACCCCTGCTCTATTTCACCCAGTTCTTCTCAGTCTTGTAGAATTTACTAACATTCTAGAATCGTCCTTTCTTCTTTGGGCCACATCAATTGGTTTTCCATTGCTTTGCACAGACAAGCCCCCTTTTCCCCTCAGCAGGATGCAAATGGATATCAGCATGCAAAGTGGACCTTTCTGGAGAAGATGCTTAGAAATACTGGATGTTTCTGGAATTAACTTGATGCTTTAGAAGTACACTATTTAGTACTATGTGAATGGGGACCACTTGATATACCTTTCATGAAACCACAACAGGATTAACACTGCATGAACCATATGTAGAGGCTCCAATCCAACTCAAATGAGTCGTGTTGAATGCAGTGGGACTTGGACAGCAATCCTATGAGTTTCTGGAACAAATGACAGAAAGCTCTACTCTTGGAGCCTGCCATCCATTCATTGCCCTCTTGCTGGCAGGATAGAAGGAATGACAGAGACTTCCCCCTGCCCAGTCTTCTACAGGGGCATTCTTTATTCCACAGTTCTCACAGCCCATCAAATATACTTACTCTACTGGCAGTAGGGACAGGACTCATCTGCTACAGTGACTCCAGCCAGAGAGTCACATTAACTTTAGATGGAAACAGGTCTTAGTTCCTTTCCCCTTATATTTCCACATACTCCCTGAAAATCTTCTGCAGTTATTTGGACACCCCCAGAACAGTATCAGTTTACAGGAGACATTGGTGAAAATCAGTCCCTCCACTTCTGGACATAGAAGTTCCACTGGATCTAAGAAAGAAGCACATCTCTGGAACTAATTCTACATTTAAAGAATTGTTTTTTCTTTGGTATTTGGATTGTATAAAACCAAAACCAAAGTTGAATTTTTCCTTGAATTAGGAATGGGGATATTCTCATTTGGACATTATATGCACTGCTCTTCACACACTGAAACTACTTCTTCAAGATGAAAGCTTGATTGGCAGAAAGAATAATAATTATAATAAATGCAATGCTCTTCTGTTACAGTTGAATGTGTTAAATATAATGCAAACATTGTGGAAGAAACACTGCTAAAAATATATATATATTTGCCCATTAGGATAATCATTCAAGTTCAAATTCAGGTCACGAATGAAATCTAGTTTTGCTCACTTGGTGCAAGCACTTCCAAAACTTAGTTCATAAAATCAGAAAATATAACTCTGAAAATACTATATATGAGCTGATTCAGTGTTTCCTAATCTGAAACTGGGTGAGAAACTGCCTCTTCAACCCAGGAGTGCTTTTTCATTCTCAAGGCCAGAGCAAAAACTCATTTGTATTGTACTGTTGCTTTCCTCAATTATTTGTGAGCTAACATTGGGTCTTCACGGTGCTGTTACTTGAAGATCAAATCTGAAATACTATCCCTTCCTTACTAGCACTTCAGCAATAGGTCCTGCCTAAATTCTGGGCCCCAGTACACCCTAGATTCTCCAAATCAAGGATTCTCAACCTTTTGTAAAGCAAGACTTTCTCAGCCACGAATGAAATAAAACAATTCAGGTCTCCTGAAAGGTTGCCAAAAAGTTGTGGAATACTCTCAAGTGATGGTTTATATAATAAACAGATTTTTAAAAAACAGTTACATTCAGCCAAGTCAACAAAATCTGATTTACAAATAAATTCATTATTGAACTATGATGCACTCGATGCTACAGAAGATAAGCTTGAAGGCATTTACATCTCTGATCTACATGGCCGTCTGCTCAGTAACTAATGGGAACGATAAAACAAGTGAGGACAAAATTGCTAATATTTCAACTGCACTTTTCCTATACTGGAAACATCTCATGATTTGCAGAAGAGGATTAGAATGATTGAGTCTATGGGATAATCTTTAAAATGGGATCAATGGAGGCGGTACTTTTATATTCTAGGATGCTACTGGCCACTGATGGTGAAACCCATTTCTGTCATTTTATCTTCTCTCTCACTTCTCTTCCATTTCTGACATTACCTGATCTGCTTGTCTTGTGGTCTTAATATCAGGAATGCTGGGGAAATGATTTATTAAATTTTACAGACATATTTCACATAAATGTAAGATGAAGTCTGAATGTACAAATACTCAGTTAAAAATAGTTTAAAGGGAGTGAGCTTACTTCTGCACAAACATAGGATTGCACTGTAAATTAAAGGTTGTTGAAAGTTTTGCAAGTAATCTGGTTTGGGTCAGGTTTATTCTTACATAAATAAGAGGTGCTACAAGGTTGCTATTTTTAACTATGTGCATAGATGCCACCCATTAAGTTGCTCATTTTTTAATCATCCTCATAATTGCTGACCTGGAAGGATCTACAGCTGTGCTCTGATTGGTAATCAGAGTCATTCTTTTCCTTTAGTTCCATCTCTCTAAGGCAAAGTCCCATGTGCATGATGAGTGGATGGAGTTCCAGTAGACTTCTCCACCCGCCTTTTGTATTCACTGCAATGCACCAAAACAGTGAATGCAATGTATCCCACAGACATGCATCTTCAAAATCCGTAGGCTTGCACTAGGTCAGGGCAGGTCAGTTTTGTTCCCTGAGGCAAGGGAAAAGATGGTACCCCTCTCTCCCATCATTCCCATTCCCTGTACAGAAGCCAACCAGAGTTGCCACTGAATCTTACTTCTACATAGTGGTGCTCAAGTACTCCACTGTAAGCAGAACAGCTTAGAAGGTGCAGAGCAAATCATACGCCACACTCAGCATCTTAAATCACCTCACTCCCGTCTTCCAACATCCACTCCCTGAGGTGGCCACCTCACTTTGCCTTATGGTGGGAGCTATCCTGCAACTGACCTTATCATCTTTCTTTTCTTCCTCTTTCCCACTTTTTTGTTTTACCTTTCTTGCCTTCTGTTTGTTTCCTCATCAGCTATACATGCTGCTTCCTTGATAGTACTTTTAATTCCATCTTTTGCTTTCCCTACATGTACAAAAACAAAACAAAACACCATCAACACAAAGACAGCGCATAATTTGGAATAGCAAATCACTGATAAAATTGCAATGGGTTGCAACTATAGCAAATAAGATAGCATATAGTGTTTATCTTCATTTGGCTATATGGACTAAAATCTCACTTTTGAGGATTGTGTTAGGAAATTAGATACTTTTTCTTCTTTCTCTTCATGTCTTCATCACCAAAATACAATTTCTACCAGAACTAGATGCATTAAGTGTATTTGTTGGGAGCTAGACTCCTTGCTTCTCTCTTTCAAAGAACAAACAGTTCTTTGGCATTGGAAGGCCCTTCCTTTCCAGCGTGTATCTAGCAAGCTTTATCCAGCAAAGAAAGAATCTAAGCACACACAGAACAGTTCTTTGAACCCAAATAGAAATAGAAATTATTTCAGAGGATCTTCCTTTTGAGTAATCCTGGCGCCCACCCCTCTGGGAGTGTTCCTTTGGAGATGAGCAAGCCTCTACCTGTATACAGGTCCTCTAGCTGGCTAGCCCTTCTCTTCCAATGCGATGTCATGATGTCAAGGACTGGACCAGGCTCCTCTGGCTCCTCCCCCAAGTCCCTTCCTGGCACTTCCATACCCTCAGTTCCCAGGCTGTGCCTGAACAGCTGAAGACAGCAGCCCTGAGATGTGCTATCCCTCTTTTGCCATCTCCAAGTCTGCAGGCCTTGTTTCCCAGGTCCCAGCCTCTTCATCTGGAGAATAGGTGTCACCCAGACTCTGAAATGCACTCCAAGAACCACTGTCCCTTTTATTTCCAACATTACTGAAATGAATCTAAATTAGTTTTTCATTATGTCCAACTTACACAGAAGAAATCTTGTTTAGCATGGTCTTTATAGAATCTAGGACCTTGCGGTGCTCCAGATGTTTTGGCCTACAGCTTGCATCATCCCTCACCATTGGTTATTCTGGCTAGGGCAGATGGAACTCATACCTTTCCAGATGTTTTAGCCTAAAACGTGCCCTCCGTGTCTTATAGGATATTCTTTATATTCCGTCTTCACCAGCAGCTAATGATATTGAGCAGGGGTTGAAAAACTTACAGAATTATGTCAAGTTGCATGGTGAATTGCACTAGATATTACAGAGGAAGTCTAGACACCAGTTTTCTGCAGTAGACCTATATCTTCCCAAGCATCTACTTCTCTCAAAGACTCTAAAGTTGTCATCCCCGGTGGCTAACCATAATCCTCTGAACTTCGAAAGTTACAGGCATTTAATCAAGCATTGGAAAGCATGCAGAGGCATGGATTGCCTATATACTTTTCCTGCCCTGCAAAAGAAAGACAGCTAATGCTAGTGAGGAGGATGAGCTGAGGTTCCACCTGGATTCTTTGCAGAATGTCATTCCCTCACTTCTCTCTTCCCTTTACCATAGAATGCCCCTCCTAACACCATTCTCTAGATCTTTGCAGTAGCAGCTGGTGGAAAAGAACCACAATGGTCACAAGGCTAGAGGGAAGGCCCTCGAAGATAGAGTCACCACTGTGACCACAGAGGGCTTTTATGAGGTTGCATTGCAGACTCTGATTTTGCTCATGGCTAGCCAGACAAGATCGACTGGCCATGAAACTGTGCGCTGCCTGTTTCAGTGAGATAGAACTGGCTCACATTATGATTGTGAGCCAGTGCATAAGCTTAGGCTTGTTAAAGATGGCAATAATAAATCAAGCCTGAATTCTAAGAACTGCATGAGTTGCAACCATTAAGAGCTCACATCTTTTAAATGTTTTATCTACAGAAAAGCAAATAGCTATTTTTCCCCTAAGTAATAAAAAAGTCACTACAAAAATTCTTACTAAAGCACAAAGAGCCTTATTCTATTGAAAAAGATGTGTTTTTGCAATGATGCCAACCAACAGCTAAATCATGGTAATTCTCCCACCCCACCAGATTTGCAAAGTATACACAAATGTTTTACTTTTCTACTTACTGAATAAATTGTTTCGGTCCTCCTTAACAAAAGTAAGGAAAACAGCCGTGGTGGCCATTGTCATTGAGATCATGATGAAAATGAATACTTTCATCTGAAAATAATAAAAACACTGCAGTGAATAAATGTTAGGATTACTAGAAAAGCAGCATACATATGCACATAAATTGTTTTCTAGCTGGGTAAAATGTGATCCTCTTTCCATATTAAAAGAATAAAAAATTAACTCTTTTCACTTTCTCTGAAATCTCAGATAAAAAGAAATTGAGATAAACATAATTTTTGACATAGAAAGTCTCAACTGGGGAAAGCTAGCACATGGGGAATTCATAAGATTTTTAAAATAAGCCACATTGTAAATAAGATGTGTCCTATTTTGAAAGGAAACTTCAAGAGTCATTACTTCACATCCTTACATTATTATTTTTACTATGCCTTAAACTCTTTGGAAATATTGTTGGATTTGGAGTAAGGCAAAAGTCTTGTTCACAAATGACTTGATGACTAGAACATCTAGTGGTGACTACTGCATGTATGAATGGGCTGTCAGAGGCAGAACTCTCAGAGAGCAGGAATGAGATGCTTTTCCACCCAATCCACATATACTTCTATCCAGCAAATCTATAGTAATCAGGAATAGGAAGATATTCTACCATCTATAAACATTTGACTCTCCTATTAAAGTCTGCTACTGAAAATTCCTCACACTTATTCAATTAGAGAAATAGTACCATCAGTCATACTTTCTTGCTTACATAAAAACTATTAATCAGATCTGAAAATGTGTACATTAAATAATGTCCACAGCAAGCACATGAGGCAACAGCCTTCCCTATTATAGTTTACAAGTTAAAAATACAGGCCCGCTTCCAGAAGTGAAAAGCAAACATTTAATAATCTGACCTTTGATTTCCCGTTTGAGGTTATCTTCTGCAGGTCTGTTGTTTGTCACTGGCACCAACTCTCCTGAAACACCTCAGAAGTGCTGCCCAGGACTCTGGTCTTCAGTATAAACTTGCTCTATGCATGAATGCCCATTTAAAGTGATTTGAAACCCTTCTTTTGATGGACACATTTTTCACACATATAATATAGCATTTCATCTCAGTGATTTGTGTTCTGCTTATGTTTCTATTCTGCCCTTCAGCTACTGCACGGTCAATTTTGTTCCTGTTTAGAATGCTGAAGCTACTGAAACAACCCATTTTTAATCCAAGCTCTAAATGGAAAGTAAACCAAATCCTAAAATCTCATCATCACTGAAAAGTCATATGAGAAATATATTGATTACTGAACTACTCGATGCTTTGCATTTTTAAAAAATCACTCTATCATTTGTATTTAAGGCCAGTGTTTCTATTTAATGTTAAGGAACTCATAGTGGCTCTAAACTTGGATATATATATATATATATATATATATATATATATATATCAGTGATGGCAAACCTTTTAGAGACAGAGTGCCCCAACTGCAACCCAAAACCCACTTATTTATCACAAAGTGCCAACACTGCAATAAAAACTGAATACTGAGGTTTTAGTTTAGAAAAAACAACTCACAGCCAGTCCAAGCAAATATATATATATCCTTGGCAGCACACGAATGGCTCGTGATGTCATTGCCTGGTGCCGCTACTCCTTTCCAAGCATGTGCATGGGCCCTATGTGTGTTGTTATCCGATGCTTGACTGCTGGGGTGACTTGGCTTGCATGCTGACAGAGAAGGCTCTGCATGCCCGCTGTGGCCTGTGTGACATAGGTTCGCCACCACTGACCCAACCCTAGGTTTACTCTCGAGAGAGAACAGGGACTTGCTTTGGGACCCTGACATCTGGGCTGAATCTCCTTCCCCATTTCCTGAGGGTTGGCTTGTCCATATAGGGGGAACTAAATGAAGGAATTAAGAAAGCAGGCAGAATAAATAACTGATTGATACAGATTGAAGGCACAGGTTGAGGGAACAGCTGCCATCTGATCCAAAACAGGGCAGCAAGAATGTTGATGGGGACTGGCCTATGAGAACATATTACATCAGTCCTCTTCCAGTAGTACTGGCTGCTAATTGCAGTCCAGGCTCTATGCAAAGTGCCAATATTAACATTCAAAGCCCTAAATGGCTTGGGGCCAAGTTATCTGAAGGAGCATCTCATCCAATATGTACCTACCCAGACTCTGAGGTCATCTTTGGGGGTCCTTCTCCAGGAACCCTCTCCAAAGGAAGTAAGGAGGGTGGCAACCAGAAGAAGGGCTTTTTTAGCTCTAGCACCCCACTATGGATGAGCGCCCCAAAGAGATGCACCTGGTGCCTACTCTGTATTCTTTTTGGTGCCAGGTGAAAACCTTTTTCTTTCCCCAATATTTTATTTTCCCAGTATTTTAAAATAAGTTTTAAACTTTATTTTAATAATGCATTTTATCCTGTACTGCTGCTGCACCGTGCTGATTCAATTGCAATTAATTGCAATAAAAATAAGCTGTTTTTATTACCTTTTGTTAATTTTTCCCTTCTTTCTTTCATGTTGTGTGTTTCTAATTTTTGTTAACTGCCTAGAGAGCCTCAGTAAAATAAATAACAAATAAACAAATGTATGACACAATACACTGGCACAGATGGTGAACAGGAGGCCTAAAGAGGGTGGGCAGAGAATTTCAAAGAAGCTTATTTTGTACAATATCCTTTAAAATACTTAACTATTGTTAGATTCTTAAATGGCTGCAAAACCCACTCACCAGTTGATACACCCCTGAAACGGGCAGAGCCACTTTTGGCTTCAGTTTTTGAGGACCCTTGCACAAGACACCCTCCATTAGCTCCCTCCCTCAACGAGCCTACCTTTGCAATGCCGCTGTTTCTGGCTGCTGTTGCTTCTTTTCCTTCTCTTCATAGTTACCACCTGCTTCCCGGACATGCAGAGAGCCATGAAGCAGGCAGGCCGTGGCAGTTCCGTGTCCTGGGGCCAATCCTGCAGCTCCTTCTTCTGCGCACATGGTTGTCTGGGTCGGAATGCAAGAGCAGTAAGCAATGCAGGCTGCGATGGTGAAGGGAAGGATCAACTCCAGGAAGTACTTCCCCGTGGGCCCCTACTGGCGTACAGGCCCTCATCGGGGCCCATCCATATCAACCTTTGACATCAGCATTAGGAAGAACAGTGGTGCTTCTGTGCTCCTTTCATTCCTATTGGCATCAGTGGAGCTACGTGGAACATGAAATAATGATAATCAGTGTCCTCTTCCTGGAAAGAGATGGGAGAGGCTGTCATCACAGGTACCTTGGGGCCAATTCCCCATTTGCAGAGACCACAGAATGACACTGTGGCTTGTTAGTTCTTCCCTTGAGAATTGGAAGCATGATTGTCTGGAGCTGGGATGTGGGCCACAAAAGACAAGACAGAGGCATAGGAACAGGGCCACAGAACTTCAGGCAAAACAGAGCCCAAAGTCCAATAGCAAGGTTCGGGTTGCATTTATAGAACAGGCCAGGGTCAGAAACCAGAAGTAAGTATCAGAGCAGGACAAGGCCATGGTCATGAACAAGTCAAGGGTCAAGACAAGCAAGGTGGAGGGACCTTGAGGCAGGATAACTGGGAAGCATATACAGCAAGGCAGGGCACAACAGGAGCCGAATGCAGCAAGGGTTAGGTAAGGCACAGAAGCTGAAGCACTCCTCAGCCAGCAAGAAGACCCATGGGTGAAACAGGAGGCAAGGTACAGTTCAGGCAAGATGCAGGCACTACAACAAACAGGAGAACCTAAGTTGCTGAAGCTGGTTCCAGGGCCAAGAGCCTGCTTCCCCCCCAAGGCTCCCAGCCGGTGCTCATAAGGAGGCTGAGTGTTCAGTGTCCTGGGGCCAATCCTGCAAATACTAGGACGGACTTCCAATTCTGACCATCAGGGCAGCCTGGATCCTGAAACTGATCAAATATCTTGGTAGAGCAGTAGACTTTCTGTCCCTAGACTCTGGGCCTCCGCAGGTGATTAAGCTGGCCCTTGACACGCAACCTTCTGAGAAGCCTTGGAAAGAAAGGGATCTGCTCATTTCAGGCATGGAACCAGAATGCTTTTTGTTGATGCTGATGGCCCAGGGCAGTTCATGACCTCCCCCTCACCACCACCACCACCACCACCACCACCACCACCACACACACACACACACACACACACACACACACACACACAAAGGGCTTGGATAGGGCACAAACATCAAGTAAATATGTGGAGAAAGAAAAGAGTCACATTTCCATAAATCACATTCTTTGGCCCAAACCCAAACATTGCTGTCCATCAGAATGGTTTGAAGAGGAGCAAACTTTTTTTAATGCACACGCTCGCTCTGCTCTTCTTTATTTAAACAAAGCAGTTTAACTTCTGCTCATTCATTAAATAAAATTATTTAACTATACTATATGCATTATAAAATATGGCTTGAGCACCCTGTGTGTACATGTGTTTGGGAAGGGGCAGAAATGTCTTGAAAACTAAAACTGACCAAACATACCCACACACACACAAATCCTTCACACCAGGCAATCCTTTATCAACCATTCTCATTGAGCAAAAGGAGAATTTTCTCTTTGTCAAGAATTTTGTTTACTAGAAGCCTCAATCACTGCTTAAGTGTTTAAAGCTGAAGTGTGTTTATTAGTTCAAACGAAATCCAAGATGGGGGATTTGATGTGACAGCTGTGTGCACCTGTTTTTAAATAATTCTTAGGAAATGTACCCCCCCCCACCCCAGTATCTGGCTTATGTGCAAAGTAGCCCAACTTCAAACCAGGCAGTATCTAGGGGTGGGGGCAGGGAGAGAGGAAGGACACTTAACTACACCCTAGCTGCCACTTAAAAGTGTCATGAGTTTTGCAACTGTTGTCTTGTTCATAACAATGTCAGCAATACCTGTCAAGTCTCAGTATTGCTGGTGTCTGATTTAGGATGATTGCGATTGCATTTTGAGAGCTATTCTAACTTGGCCAGTGCCATCCTCACTGATGTTTCTAAACAATACTTTTGGCCATTAAAGGTGTAATATTACACATGCTGAGACAGATAAAAGGCCTACAGCTCCAGCATTCCC